TCTTTTGAAAGAAAGTTGTACAGATGTCCTAATTTTATAGTTATAAGGAGTGGTATGCTGTAAAATTTAAGATTATTTTGTCTAAAATTAACGTTCTAAATGTTTGACTATTCATACAATAAAGACCACTGTATGATTAGCTTATAAGTCTTACCTACTCTTTCAATACCATTCAGTAATATTTGAAAATTTTATCTCAATTATTGTACATGGGCTAAAATTCTATATAAACACTCTTTATTCTTTTTGAAATGAAAATAATAAATTTGCAATGCTTCAAAATTACCTGATTTTTGAAAAGTTATCAGAGAAGTCTTTTCAATCTCTAGAAAAATCCTACTCATTTCACAAACATAATGAATCTCATAAATTGCAAGGGTCACCCTACCACATTAGCCACAGGTCTTAAAGGTATGACAAATAATCAACACAAACAAAAACCTGCACATTTCATTCAACTAGACCTGCCTAACCAAGATACACTAACGCTATTTAAAACAGTCTTTGAAAAATTGTATCAGGAAAAAATTTATATTGTATGTATTAAATATTTGGGATTCTTTTTCCCTACTCTTCTGTCCAGCCAGTTGGGTTAATCTTAAATTAAAAAATAAAACAATCCCTTTTAAGTACTTCAACTAAACATCAAAAGACTGGAGACTGGATCTTCTGAGGTACTATTACTTCTTAATTTGAGATATCCAATCATGTAAAACTATGTACTGTATAAGGGTACCTAATTTCTTTTGACAAATTCATTATTCCATGACCTATCTAAGAATGAGTGCTTTTGCTAGGAACATACCATGGTGTTCCAACATTTTTACATCCATACATGAAATGCCCTAATTCTAAAGAAGACCCACTGAGTCATGTACATAGTTCCCAATCCTATCCCTCCCCTTTCTACTTTTATAACTTTCCAAGGTTGCCCAACTATCTACTACTTCCTCCACCCAGCCAAAGTCAGGAGTACTGGCTTGGTGTTTTGCTCAGGACACAACACACAGAACTAAATTTTTAATGTTTTTAAAAACTTTTCTCATGCTATTACCCTGATCCTTCGTATTATTACTTTGCTTAAAACCCTGTATAGGTTGCTACTACCAAGAGTAGTATTTTTCAAACTGCCAGTTGCTACCTCAGGGTTGTTAAATCAATCTAGTGGGTCTCCATCATCATTTCTTCTTAAAAATGAAATATAATGGAACAGAAGCCACACAAAGATAGTATTTTGTGCCATTTTATCATTTATATGAGCATACTAGATCACAATGAAAAACTGTATGTTACTAATGGGTACTACCTTTATAAAGTTTGCAATACTGTCTATGAGCATAACTCAAACTTTCATTTGTCCCAAGGCTGTCTAACCCGGCCCTGAATAAGGCTCTCCAGACCTACCTCTTGTTCTACCCACCGGAACCCCAAGCAAAAAAGCCCCTTCAGTCTATGCCAAGCTTTCCTGCACAACTCTCCCCTAAACTCGTTTTGGCATGGGGAATTAAACCCAGAGCCTTCACACTGAGCTACATCCCAGCCTTTTCATTTTTTATTTTGAAACAGGGTCTTGCTAAATTGACTAGGCTGGGCTCTAACCTGGAATCGTCCTGCCTGTCTTCTGAATTACCAGGATTACAAAGGTGTACCCAGCTAGCAGTTCCTTTCCTTAATGCTGTCAAGCATACTGTTCTGCTTTGAATACCCTCTCAGCCGTCTACAGGGCCCACATATATTCACCTTTCAGTATTAGTATCTATTTCCTGCTCTACAAAGCCTGTTTATCCTTCTGGCAACACTGAATGACCCCCCCACACACACACACTGCGCTCTGTAATGCCCTACATTATAGCTTCTTCCACATTCCACTTATTTTAAACTCAATTGCCTTCCTAGTCTCTAAACTATACACTCTTTGAGGGAATGAGCACCTTTGTCTCTGTTTAGCAACACGGACCTTAGGTGTTAAAGTTGGTATAATGACAAAATTAAGAACTTGCATGTAACTTTGTTGTTACAAATAACAAGATGCTTAGCTTTGCAACAAAGCCGATTCATATTACAGTGGTGAATCAAGACCTCCACATTTTTGCTACCAGCCCAAGATGGAACCCCTAGCAGCCTCCTCAGAAAGATCTGTCACTTCACTATCTTCCTGCAAAGAATGTACTCTTTTCAGATTGCAATACACCAGCATCCCTTCCTTGCTTCTGGAAGTTGTGTTGGGGGATAGGAGCCGGGGGGTGGGTGGGTGGGGGTGGTCCAAAGGCAAGAAAGATAATAAACCAGCATTATCAAACTTCGTTATATATACAACTAGCTCTTAAAGGTGGTGGGGGTGACACTAGTTGCCAATATAAGCTAAGCCCCAAAAAGGTAGCATAAAATAACTGATTGAAGTTACTTGATTTCTGTTGCCTACACTAATACTTCTGAAATAGCTGACTCATTCACTGCTCTCATAAAATACTAGGGGAAGGGAGGTTCAACTCTTAACAGGAGCGCCTGACACTTAAAAGCTTTCCACGAACTTCATTTTACATAAATACCTTTCTTTTTAGGCAATCTGATGAACCTATTTTACAAACCCATACTTCAGCTGCCCTCACATCAATTATACATTCACGTAACATCCAAAATACTTTGACAGACTCTGCCAACTGTCAGTTTCAGTTGTTCTTTTCCTTTTCCAGTTTATAAACTAACACAGGAGCCATAATTGTTTTCTGCTTAAACCAATCATTCATTTTACTAAAAACAATTCCTCTGCTTAGACTTTGCCTCCAGACTTGCAATTATATACCTAAGACAGATAAATCCTATTAAAACTCAGTATTAATAAAAAATGTTTTTGTAATATGTAAAACTCGTGGTGCAAAGTATTAAATTTAAGGTACCAGTCAGAGTAAGGTAATGTAGGACTACGTGGGTAAAACTTTAAAGGCCATTTAAAGTTCTGTTTGCTTTGGTTTTAAATAGGTCCAGGCAACTAAACTGATGTGACATTTATTAGGTATAAACATCTACATAGTGTGGAAATTTCTGCAAATGCCTTGGCTGTATGTTTTTCTAATTCTACCTACTCTTCCCCTTTCAACAACTCAGATCCAACAGTTCCTTTTCTATGAAAAAGGGTCATAGTCCAAAAATAAACTTGGGAAAACAGCACAAATGCACATACCTTTTTCTCAAGTCCACCTTTAAAACGTTACTAACAAAAGGGCAAACAAACTTGTTTGCAAGCAAATTTAATTATGCTGTTATGTACAAGGGCTTATTTTCTTTATTTTAAATACCAGCCCCCTTAGTACTGTAAGTTCAACCCATACACACTTTTCCTGGCAAAATGACAGACATTTATATAATCCAAAGACTGTAAAAAACTGATTTTCTTTCATGATGCTACCACTCCATAGTCTGAAAAACGTAGGCTTCAACATGAAAAACTACCATTTGACTCTGTAGGTATGTGCATACACATTTTAAACAGTGAGGCTGCAGATGTTCAAGGAAAGTCATATTCCAAAAGTTTTGAATATGAACGTCTTTCAGTATTTTTTCTCATTTAAAATTGATGCGATTTATCCAAAACATTTTTCAAATGCCATTATTTCCCAGCTTAAGTGCTTAAACAACTTAGAGAGAAAAAAACTTCCATCTGAAAGATCAGATCAAGAAACCATGAAAATAGAGTCAGAGAAAAAGAATTCATTCTACAGGCTAGAAAAAACAATCTCTTAAAAAGTCATTTCATCTCTAAAAGTCATTCAATCTTTAAAAGACTCTAAACAAAAACAGGCCAGAGGTTAAATAATTTGCCTCAGGTCACTAAGCTACTAATAGAAGCACCGCAAATAGAATGACGTATTCTAATTACTCTTAGCAGTACCCGAAATCATGCAAGTTACTTGTCGTTTGAGTCTTAAAACCAATTATCACCTTCTCATTAATTCCCGAAGGACTCCTACATGGATTTTAATTTTTAAAGTTTAAGTTCAAATTCCAACTCTCATAAAGTAGCACCAAGAACTTTAAGAAAGTGTGTGGTACACCCTTAAATCATCACAATGAATCTGAGTCCATCATTTAAAACCCTGTCCTTCAACTGCACTTTTCAGGTTTGTTCAACTATGGAAACAGAAAATTCTGGAAGTTCCTCGTGTAGGGAAAGAATTGGCAATCTGTCAAAGACAAGAGTGGATCATTATTCCAATAATGTGTGATAAGGTTCCAGCTCAAATCAAGGGAAGTCACTATTAGCAGCTTATTAACCACAGTGTGAAGAGTTTAAACTTTGGGAGACGCATTCTTGGCTGGAAGAAGATGTAGATCTGATATTAACACAAACTGAAGGTCTAAACTTAAAACTGGAAAAAAAAAAAAAAAAAAAAAGGAAAAGGGAACAAGTGCCTTACACCAAAATCTTTCCCTATTCCAGCTCTGATGTCAGTATCCCGTGCACCCGCACTGTGTAGACTTCATCGTGAGACTTTCAGATTTTTATTTTTAATGCCTCAATAAATCAACTCTTACGTTTTCGCTTTGTACATTCAAGGGCAAAAAAGAGCACACGGTGAGGGCAACAATTTACAATGGACCACGTCCAAGGACTGTAGTCTAATCACTCGGTACAATCGTTCCTTTGTGCAATTCTTTCCAAAGAGCCGAGAGAATGCAGTACAGTACTTCTTTTTGAAGGATACCATCGAGAAAACCTAAGATAACATGATTTTGATAACCGATTGCCACGGTTTATCAATGAAACAGTATTAGGTAGAATGCGCTATTACACACAAAAAATACTCATGTTCCTTGATGACCACTGGTGTCATTCTACCAAAAAAAACTTGTTAAAAGGTTAGTACACCTGGTATTTTAAAGTAGGACTTAGCTTAGCAAAGAGACAAATTTGCTTGGAAACAACACAACAGTCACCATCACCGTTCAACAACATCCACACATACAGACTCGAGGCCGTGATTAAGTACAAAAATCCTTACCCCATTTTGCCCAGTGAAAACTTGCTCGGAAGTGTCTGGTCTCAGACTACGGAATAACTTCCAAAGGAATTTCTCCGGCTATATAGCAGTTGCTTTTCCACTGCCTCCCCCACCCAGATCCGTTTTCGTAGATATTTCAATGATGCTGACAGTTCAGTTAGTTCTCGTGGGTGAAATGATTTCTCTCTCGTTAACACCAAAACGTTCAAACAGAGGTGACATTTGCTTATTAGTTAAACGCTGCGCGGAGACGGTAGTCAACTCTATTCCACAAATGAGCGTCCAGGTAGAGAAACGCAGAAACCAGCTTCAAGGAGTCCTATAAAAAATGAGTTCGCTGGTCATGTCGCCCGTGTTGTTCTCCGCACTCACTGAGGGACAGGAAATTCGGCCTTTTCGAGGCTAAAGCTGTAGGTTCAAATTTCTCCACACCATGTCCCTGGGGGTGGAGCGTGCAACCCAACGCGACGTGCACTTTAAAAACAAAATTCCTAAAAGCAGCAATACCACTGCCTCCCCGCGCTCACATTAGAGGAGGAAAAAAAAAACTGTACAGAAAAACTCGAGGCGCCCACCCAGCAGCTCGCGACGTGCACATTAGAATCTGCCTTCTTAATGTCTCCCCTCCGGAATCGCGGAGCAGCGCGGAGGTGGGGAGGAGGAAGGGAAGACGGGGCAGGATCGATGCGCTCTCCCGAGGAGGCTGAGCGGAGCCATTTCCCGGCGGGCAGTGCTGGGGCGCCAAGGCGGAGGCGGGAGGGGGGCAAGCCCACCTCAGCCTCGGGCCGCCCGCCGCCGCGCACAAAGGGGCCCGGCCCCGTGTCCGCCGCCTGCCGGCTGTCCGCGGAGCGCAAGGTCCGAGGTCCGTCGGCAGAGAATGAATGAGTCGGACTCTAGCCCGCGCTCCCCAGCTACCCAGCCCCCCGCTCCGGCGGCGGGGCCGAAGCGTCGACGGCGCCTGTGAGCTGAGGCTGCCGCCGCGTCGGGGGCGGGGAGGCGGCTCGAGGCTGGGCGCCCGCACGCCGGCGCCCCCACCCCAGCTCGTCTCCCGCGCCACGCGGCCGCTCGGGCCCGCTGCGGCTCCGCTGCCGTCCCTCACAGGCCGCCTTCGCCGGCTTCCAGCTCCCGCTGGGCAGAGCTGCGCCGGCCCGGGGCCTGGAGCCCGCCGCCGCCGCCGCCACCAGCCGGCTCGCGGAGTGCAGGACACCGCTCCACCGTCAGCGCCGCCGGCGTGAGGCGCGCGCGGCCGCGGAACGAGCGGCGAGGCGGGGAGGGGGCGGAGCGAGCGAGCGCGGTCCCTCCCCCTGCAGCGGGCGGGGCTGGGCGCGGGCCGGGGCACCTCGGGGCCTGACGGCCAGGGATGAGGGCAGAGCCGCGCGCGGCGAGGCTGAGGTCAGAGGCCTAGTCTGTCCCAGTGGGGAACGGACCAACCGGTCGGTCCGTCAAGCCATTCGTCCGTCCGCCCGCCCCCTCCCCTAGCGGCCGGCGACAGGGGGATGGCGCGCTCCGCTGTTCTGCTGGCTCGGAGCCCCGCTCCCTGGCGCCACAGTTCCCTCCGCACCCCGCACCGGCCGCCCGCGCTCTGCCTCCATCCTCCCTGCAGGAGGACCTTTAAATAGCAACGTAAGCGCGCTCTCGCCGCAAGCACGTCACCCGCCGCTCACGTCACCGGGTGCGGGGGATGATGTCACGCGGCCGGAAGTACGGCTAAATTAGGGACGGCGCAGGGGGTGGAGGACTGGGCGAGCCCGTCTGTCCCCACCTGCTCGCTCTCCTTAAAGGCCAAAGCGCAGGAGACAGCCGGAGAAGATTCGAAGGAGGAAGGGGCGGGAGGTGCCGAGTTTCTTGCAGCAAATGTGCCAAACGCGAGTGAATCATTCATAGCAACAGCCACCTCTTTGGCAGCAGCATCCCCGGGCTTCACAAGCCCCAACCGGCTTGGAGGTGTAGGAGGCCGAGCCTGATCACCAGCGTTAGAAACACTTCCAGCGAGACTTGGGGAAAATCACCGTAATCTGAGGTCCTAAGGACCATTGCTGCCACGGTCGACTTTTAAATATTCCTTTCTCAGTGGTCGCCTAAACGACAGACTAGTAGAGTGGAGCCGTGAACAAACAGAATGGTATGAAAGATGGTAACTAAAGGGGAGGAAGTGATCTATAAAATGTTTTCATTTTAAAAATAGCAGTGGTCTGGCATAGGATAACAAATGAAACAGTTCACTCACATAATTATGATCATATACATAGCAAATGCCAATGAACACTCATTTTTAATTTATCAAGAATATGTATTCCAGGGCCGGGAATTTAGCTCAGTGGTGCCGCCGCCTGCCTCACAAGCGCAAGGTCCGGAGTTCGATCCGCGGTACCAAAAAAAAAAAAAAAGAACATGTATTCCAGTCTGGAAATTAAGGAAGATCCTCGAAATCCTTTTTTATTGACTCACCTTTGGATTATTTTTGTGTTTAATAGTTTTCACTGTGTACGTTCAGTATCTCAAGTATTTTTTTAAAAATTTCTACATGGAAGGATGAGTAGCCGTCTATACACGTTTGCAGCAATATGTGTATTTGTGTCCAAAAAAAGTCATGAGTGCTTTTCAAATTGTAAATTACTATAGTTTTTAAATGGCGTCATTGTTTTAAAAGTTTATTATTAAGTATATTCAAATATGAACTTTTGTTTAACGATAATCATGGCACGGAAATAAAATTAGGATACACTGCCAAAGGCCATTACTATTTCAGAGTTAGTCTATAAATTCAGTGACCATATTTTACAAACCAAAATACAGATATACCATTTGACATTAAGCAGAGTATTTGAAATCTGAAGTCACTTCGAAAACCACAACATTGGATTACCAGTCTTATGAAGTCATTGTTACAAGACTAATCAATATCTATGAAGTTCAAATGAAAGAAGCTAAAAATCTATGTGTGGCTTTTAAAGGATGTTTTTAATGTTAAATAACTCACATGATTCCTAATTAAAGAACATTGGTTTTGCAACTTAATGCATCTACATTTTCTTGCTCAAGTTAGGACCCCCAGATTAAAGGACACAAGTAAAAGAAAGTTAAGACCAATATGCAACGTATTCAGGCTATCATCTTCACGTTTTACAATCATGACCTCACATAAAGTTTAAAATATTGAAAGTGATGAGGTTTTCTTAAAGGTTGTAATGAAGGTTAATAAAAAGCAAATCTCTGCTTGCCAATTTGTCTAATATATATTATTGTCAAACTAGTAGAAACTTGCACTACTATCTGTTTCAGACAGATGAAGCTTCTTAGATATAATATATTAAAGCAATAAAACTGCCATTCTTCAAATAATGTCATTACTTGGCCCCTGCAAATTAAAATGCAAATTGTGTTATTATTCTACAAAATAGTTTCTCTAAACAGTAATTTTCTCTTTCTATTCCCCCATTAAAACTCTCACGTTACTGTTTTCTTCTTTTTTAAATTTTATTTTATTGGTACATTTTAGGTTTACAATATAATGACTTTCATCATTGGAAATTTGCACCTTTACCTAATCTCTCTTGGTTCTTATTTTCTTCCCCCTTCCCCTGCCCTCCATCCTTCCCTATTTACAAAGACTTTGTTTCCATTTTTTCAATTTCTCATATTAATTCTATTACACTTTACCATTTTCAAACACTTCATTGTACCCTTTCATCACAACTTCTCCTTTACAGTCTTTTTCTCCCAATCTTCACCCAGTTGTCAAGCTTGTCAGCTGCCTCTGTACCTTTAGAATGCTGACCTTCATTAGTTTCTACTTTTCACAATGACACCCTGGTTTCTTCTCAGCTGTCTTTTGTCAACTGAAAATTGAGAGCAACTATTTTCTGCATAAATCTAATGGTGTACTGTGATACAGTTACCCAAAGTTTATGTGATTACATCAGCCTTTAAATCTAGAAAAATCTACCTAGAATTGATCAATTTTTTTCTGGCTTGTGTGGGATTAGTATATCAGGAAGTACTTGTATGTCCGTATTTCCAAAGGTATAAGTAAAACTTGGAAACAATTTATGTAAAGTGTAGTATCTTAGCAGGAAAAAAAAATGCTTTTTCCCTACCCTTGAAGCAATTCCACTACCATTTGGAAAGGAGTCAGAGAACCATTCTGGGGCTTTCCATCTATAAATAAATATCTTTATTCATAAAATGAGCCGATACAACCCAAATTCTAGTCACGATTTCCCAACTCTAGTTCCTTTGATTGTTTTTTAAAGTAGTGAACTTCCTAGAAAGTAATTTATTTTACCGGAAAAGGGAGAAAGTACTTTAGCAGCATTTCAGATTTTTAACAGTTCCTGTTTCCTACTACACACTGACAATTTGTGGGCTGGCTTATGAATACCCTCTGATTTTAGAACCTGTAGGCGAAGGCATCTGTTTTAGTTACCAAGTTTACTTCCATGCCCTTAATAGGAAGTGGCATTCAATGGGTGTTAATAGATTGGTTGCAAGGTATGTCTTTTTCAATGAAAAGGCATTCATCAGAAAAAAATTGCAGGAAAGAGAGTTTGAGCCAGATTTTATTTTTAATTGACACACATTAGATAATAGGAACCCTTTTTTTCAAGCCCCCTCTTTTTAATTACCGAATACTACTATCACTTCAAATATATTCATAGATATGAATAATAGGTAAAAAGATATCTCTCCGTACAATAAAAATCTCAAGATTCCTAGTTGATGGCACATAATTATGAAGAAACTAAACCAGCAAATACTAAATGTAATAATGAGGGGAAAAATGAAAGAGTTTAGGGAAATAGAATTTATCCACTGGACTGTCCCAAATCATTCTCCATCCTCCACAATTTGGCAGACCCAGGACACCATTAAATTGTGTTTGGCCTGTGTAAAACCATCCTTTATTATTCTTAATAATGTTCTCAATAGGAAATGGTAAACAGTCTCTTCAAGGAAAGCTGAGTCAATAAAAAAAAAAAAGAAACAGCAATCTCAAGGGAAGGATACAAGTGTTTGGCATCTCCAAGTCAGGACAATTTTTACTCTTTCAAAATCTTCTGCATTTTAAAAAAATCAGAGTGGTGGAGAGAGAGAAGTTGGAGAATTATCCATAGGAAAACTATGATACAGAACATGGGAAATGATCTCATAGGGCTCTCTTCTGCTCTGAATTTTACTGTAAAATCATTGATCATTTTCCATCTGGTCAAAAAGATACAAATAATACTAGACTTGTGAAAGAAGATATCAGAAAGTTTTCAGTTATGTACTTATAAGGGCCTGGATAGAATAACATTAGAGGAAACTGATACAACTATATGTAAATTTTAAAAATATTCTGGGGATAGAGGGCTTTGGAAACTGCTTTAACTTTGGGTTGTTTGATTAGTTGGTTGGGTGATTATTTTAAGCAGCTAAGAACAGGCCAGAAAAACATGCAGGTCTGCAGAAAACTACAGTAAAGGATGTGGAGTAAAGCTTGTGCTCCACCTGTGCAGTTACTTCGAATGGAATGCTGTGGAAGCAATTGGTTACCATTGCCATGGTAACCAATAATCTTTTTGCTGAATGGGTGAACAAAACAACCATGAGGAAAATATTTTAAACGAGCTACCTCATTTTTTTTTTACTCTTTTGGTGCCAGCTAGGATAAAAACGACCCTGAAGGCATTCAGGACGGCCATGTTTACTAAAGGAAATTGCCTTCTTTTCTAAGAGATGAAGCCAAGGCAGAAATGCTGAACTATTTCAAAGACAGATGAGCCTCTAAGGT